CACCGCCAAAACCACCACCTTAACATTTAAGCTGGTGAGTTCATAAGTATTTTTATTATAAAAAGTACACTCTAAGTTCTTTAGAAAAGTTCATCTGTTCCTCCAGAAAATTCTATATTTTCTTATATGATGAAAGATAAGTAAAAATGACTCTTACAATTCCTTCTATGAGTACATAATGAATACAAGTTATATTCAATCTAGATTAAATAGATAATCGATTATGTGAATCTGTCCTAAGCCCACAACCAAACAAGGAACATGAAATGAGGCGGAAGTCACACATCCCATTGTTTGTTAGATCCTTATTGTATATAACCCTAACGTATTCACCAGGTGCTTACAGAGTTAACTGTAATAGTTCTCTTATATATGATGAAAATATTCCTTATGAAAATCATGTGTTTCCTTTAGCAAAATGGTAACGAAAATAGTTCATTCTATAATCACTTAGTTTATACTAGCTATATATACTCTAATATCAAACGGAAAGTTAAATGTGTAAATCTGCCATAAGCCACAACCAAACAAAGAACAGGAAGTAAGGCGGAAGTCACACATTCCACTGCCTATCGGATATTAATTATATATAACTCTGATGTATAAACTAAGGAATTATAGAATTAACCATTTAAGATCCTTTATGTTAAACTAGTTTAATAATACATATTAAACCTTTTATAGATAAGTTTCTAGTTTCAATAACTTTATTGTGAAACATTGTTTTTGGTAATAAATATTATTGTTTTCAGAAAGTTCTATCGAAAACTGTTTACCTTAAAAGAACTATGTTTAGCATAGAAACTCCTATATTTTCTATTGTATATGAAAAATAGTTTTAATCCTATAAAACCGTTCTGTTTGTAGTAGTACTTTGAAAATGTACTTACGTTTAGTTAATTACACGCTAACATATTGTTAATATCTTTTTAATGAGTTGTTATAACCATACTATGACTAGATGGCCTGAAACTAACGCTTTGAAGGAGTTTAAACTATTGATAAAAATTGTCATTCATAGGCGTGTATGCCCGACTGTAGCTAGCTGCCTGAGTGTAGGGTTGTCAATCCCAATATAGATCTATACACACTTGTTTCCATCGCCGACTGGAGATTCTGGTTATAATATCAGGACTTTAACTATGTTTTTTAAATGAACAAACTATCTGAACATATTGTCTCATAAAAAAGCTTATAAACGTTACGTATATAATAAAAACCCAATCATTCTGAAATAAATGATTGATAGTATTTTCCTTGTTTAGTATACTCAAAATGTACTTGAAAGTTGTATGCCCTTGTTTAGTTTTGAATCAAACTCTTGTTCTTGTACAATAGTATAAACCCATGTTCTTGTAAAATACTGTACTTTAGTATACTTGACTTGTGAGTAAGTGTTCTTGAATCATAAATTATACCTATTATAATTTATATGTACTTTCTGTATTGATACTAACTATTCATGAATGCAACCCCTTGCTCCACATATTATAAATGGTATTTGAAACTAAATGAAATAACCTTTATATATATATATATATATATATATATATATATATATATATATATATATATATATATATATATATATATATATATACACACACACAAGATATATAACTAAAATTAAAACGACAGTCGGACAAATAACCAATACCCTAAATCCAAATCCAAACTAGGAAAAGGAACTAAAGTGAGTTATCAGTCCTAAGTCTTTTAAATCTTATATATATATATATATATATATATATATATATATATATATATATATATATATATATATGATTTTTTGTGAAAAATATAAGTTTATAAAAGAGTTTAACATTTTGAAATACTTTTGTTGACTTGATGTCATTTTATCACAATTTGATGAAAAAAGGGTTTGTGGGAGTAGAAGAGATACCAAAATCGTAACCCAAGTGAAGACGACAAATCCTCTATTTATAGGGTGAATTCTCGACTCTCACATCGTGAGCATGCATGGCTCACATCGTGAGTTGGTCCTGATCATCCCGTAGCTTTGCCACACACATTTCTGGCTCTGAAAGGTGTCTAGGTGACTTCTCACGTCGTGAGAATTTAAGCTCACGTCGTGAGACTTTAATATAGACTTTCCATGTGTGTTCTAGGCTTGAAATGTGGGGTTTTGACTCCTCACGTCGTGATATATGATTTTCACATCATGAGTTCAATTAAATTAGGGTTTCTGACATGCGTCATGCTCTCAGACAGCTGTATCTTCAGAAGGTCATAACTTTTGCATACAAGCTCCGTTTTTTACGTTCTTTATATCCACACGTAGGTGGAAAAGTACTCTACAACTTTCATTTAGATCATTAAGGCTAAAAAGTAATCTATCATAATCTCACTTTTTACGATTCCCGGTGTCGTTCCCGTTTTGTCGTGAAAATTCGATAGGTCATAACTTCTTCGTTATAACTCGGATTTTGGCGTTCTTTATATGTACGAAAACCTTGTGACATACATACTACAAATTAGATAAGATTATTTATTCTAGATAATCTTTTATCAAAAATTCATGTTTGACATGATATAATGGGTTGTTACACTCATCCTCCTCCTCCTCCTCCTCCTTTAGTTCTTGCCATCAAATTAATGGAGACCATACAACTCCCACCTTTCCTTTGAATTGTGGAAATGGCCATGCCAATCATCTTCCATCGTGCCTTTCTAAAAAAATGACTTCCTTCAACATTTAACGACACAATGGAGTGGTGGTTCTAGCAGCGATGCTATATTGATCTGACAACCCAAAATTTAGATAGATTTGACTTTTAGTGAAGTATTGACCAAAAGGGTAATTTGGTATTTTATGAGAAAAAGATGAGAATATGAAGTTGTAACTTCATGAAGATAGCCAAGACATGTATAAGCCACTATAAGAGGATAGGTGAATATGAGAAATGCATTTTTGGTCTAAAGGGTAAAATTGGTATTTTATACTCTTTAGGCCAACTTCATGACTTAATAGATTACAACCCATTATAAGTCAATGAAATATGACTTAAAAATCATGTAGAGTATGTTCCCACCTTCACATGGATATCGATATCATCGAAAATGGATAAGAAATTTAGAAGATATGCGTTTTTGAAGTTGGGACAAAATGCCTAAAGCTGGAATGGAACCACACACATGAGATATTCATAAAGACATGTAAGAGAGAATGTAACGAGTATATTTCCTTCAGGAATAAGATTGATATTCCTTTTAGGAACACAAGTATATTTACTTTATCAATGAGATTAATATTCCTTCAGGAACATGAGCATATTTCCTTCGGGAATGAGATTGATATTCTATTGGGAATATGAGTGTGTATCCTTTGGGACTGAGATTGATATTCCTTTGGGAACATAAGTATATTTCCTTTGGGAATGCGATTGATATTTGTTCATGGAGTATATTTCCTTCGGGAATGAGATTGATATTCCATTGGGAAAACGAGTACATTTCCTTCAGGAACGAGATTGATATTTCTTTGGGAACACGAGTGTATTTCTTTTGGGAATCAGATTGTTATTTCTTCGGGAACACGAATATATTTCCTTCGGGAATGAGAATGATATTCCTTCGGGAACACGAGTATATTTTCTTTGGGAATGAGACTGATATTCCTTCAGGAACATGAGTGTATTTCCTTCAGGAACATGAGTATATTTCCTTCGAGAATGAGAATAAGATATGAGTATATTTCCCTCGAAAACGAGATTTAGACGTGAGTATCTTTACTTTGGGAATGAGATTGAGATATGACTATATTTCCTTTTGGAATAGAAATGAGATATGAGTATATTGCCCTTCGGAACAACATTAAGATATGAGTATATTTCCTTCTGTAAATGACACTGAATATAAGAACACAAGATTGAGTAGATATGTGATATACTAAGTATATGAGATTGAGCAGAAATGAGATATAACAAAGTATACAAGATGGAGTAGAGATAAGACATACAAAGTATATGAGATTGAGTATGAGATGAGATATATATATATATATATATATATATATATATATATATATATAGAGAGAGAGAGAGAGAGAGTATGATATTGAGTATGGAATAAGTTATATAAAGTATAGGAGATTGAGTATGAGATTATATATATATATATATATATATATATATATATATATATATATAGTATACGGGGCAAAGTATGAGATGAGATATATACAACATATGGGAATGAGCTGAGATGAGATATACTAGATGAGATATAACAGAGTATATTAATGTAAGTATAAATGATATAGAACATAGATTGAGAGACAAAGTACAAAAGAGATTGTTTTAGAGATAAATTTAAGATATGTGCAGGGTATGAGATGAGTTGGATAAGTAGTCGTGAGCATAAGTATGAAGTACGAGAAAGAAAGTAACAAAAGATAGGATAATAACTCACCAAACGTAGTGTCTAATGTAGTTGGGATTTATTTCTTTGTAGGCGCGAGTTCAGTAGCCATGGTACCAGTAGAAAAGACATGAGCACATTAGCAAGATTTAAGATTGGGATGTTTATGTATTCTTCCTTTTATATTGATAGATAGATTTTATTGTGATTACTTGATTTAACTTGGGATGTAAAAGTTTTAAATTTGAGTGTATTTCCGCATTTTAAAATAAAAATTGATAATTCTTATAAATTAGATGTCAAAGACTAAGGGTGTTAAAAGTTGATATCAGAGCTACAGGTTCGGCGAATTAGGCTTGGGGTATCCATTCCTTTTCTTAAACCATGGAAAATAGATTAAATGTAGAGACTATGAGATGTTTGTGATAAACCATACTAAGAGATCACGGTACATAGCTGAAGATGTGTGAAGATAAAGACCATGAAGAGTATGTGTATATTAAATTGACCAACCTAAAAGGTTTAGGTACAAAAATGTAAGATATAAAAATATATAAATTGAAACTTGGTAATGATGATTTTGATTGAGATCATGAATTTATATGATAGATCCATGAAAGATGTTTGAGTTTACTCATGTAGATGATGATTGTGATTTGAGTCTTCAAGAGGTGATAATATCTAATAACATAAGATTCTATGAACCATCCTAATCACTCAAATAGATATTAGTAGTATACTCATGACTTAAGAGATGAGACGTAAGTTGAGTACAAAATGATGAGTGAGAAAAGAGTCAAGAGAAAATAACAGAACTTGAGTCGTGGCACATGAAACACTACTATTTGAGAAAGAAATGATCAATATTCAAAGTAATAGTAATGATGTCGATTAATCACATGATAATTTGGGAAAATGTAAATGATCAAAGAAGAATTCAAAGAATTAGATTGAAATGAAATAAGATTAATGATTTAAAAAGATATTTAAATCTTTTGATTGCATGAGGAAATACATGACTTTTCAAAGATAGAGTGATTTTGACAACTCTAATGTTAACCTTGACATATATGTCCATAGTGCAAAAAATATAAAGCACTTATACTGAGAATATGATAATTTGTTTTGATAAACATATGATGCGATAAAGCATTTTATGTAAGATGAGAGAACAACGAGTATAACGAGATGTATGATAAACCTATTTGGAGAAGAGTAAAAAGAGAAAAAAAAAACTTGAGAAGTGTAAGAGAAAATAACACACGAGATGAGATAGAGTAAGAATATAAAGAGTATAGACAAAATAGTAGATAATTAAGAGATTTGTTGGTTTGAGACCACATATATGAGAAAAAAAGAAAGACAAAGATCCGTGATGAATATGGTTGGGTAAAAGTGGGACAAAGGATGAAAAATGATATTTATCATGCAAAAAGATTACATAAGAGTAGATAAAGCAATAGACATCCCTTAGCAACCATTTACAGTAAAGAAATTGATAACGTTTGGCCATTACATTAATAATACAAAGAATTGGAAAATAGATTGTTATTTTGGGTTATGAGGTTAAATAGGAGGATAATAATAGAATGGAGGTCATTAAGTGGATGACCAAGCGATCAAGAAAAGATTTCACGGAAGAAATCCATTAAGGGGAAGACTTCTAATAACTCAAAATTTAGATAGATTTGACTTTTAGTCAAATATTGAACATTAGGGTAATTAGGTTATTTATGAGAAAAAGATGACAATATGAAGTTGTAACTTCATGAAAATGACCAAGACAAGTTTAAGTCACTGTAAGAGGTTAGATGAGTAAGTTCTAGAGAAAGAATGCATGAGAAATGCATTTTTAGGCCAACTTTATAACTTAAAAAATTAAGATTCATATTAAGTTAATGAAATATGACTTAAAAATATGTATAGTATGTTCCCACCTTCACATTGATATAAAGGTCATCAAAAATGCATAATAAACGAAGAAGATATGCTCGTTTGAAATTGGGACAAAATGCCTAAAGCTGGAATCACTACTAGAAAATAGTCCTTTAATGACACACAAACAATAGCACACGTTGATTTACAATCCACATTTTTAGTGTGTCCTAAAAATGATGCCAAGCGTCCAAAATTTTGAAGGATAGAGGACACGCATTTGTGGTGTCCTAAAATTAGTGTCCACAAAAAAAATTACAAACACAGAGGGCGCTTATCTTGAATGCAAGCCATCTATAAAGATTGCTTTATAATTTTTTACTCCAATGTATGTTCTTAAAGGGGGGAAATGAAATCCTCTAAAATTCTAAAAATTTAAAGTACCCCACTTCAAGATCTCCATACATTCTCTCTCTCCCTTCTCTCTGCAAACCCTAACCATCGCCACCACGATTGAACCTGAAAAACTCAATCCACACTTCATGCTTTTGTGATTCTCTCCTCTTTGGCTCTCCAATCTCCAATTTCACTATTAAAACGGTAATTGACCTCCCTGCTTCACCTACTGTCTAACCCAAAATCAATGTTGATTGCAACCACCTTCCAACATGATGCCATCTCTACTATACACCTCCAACAACTCATAACTCGAAACCATAATCTCCCACCTCATATCCGCTACCAATGACCAATGTTCACAAGATGAAACCCTATCAACATATGCAACCATAATCATCCTGCCACCATCGTCCTCAAGCACTCTCAACTCCTCCATTCTTTGCCTCATGTCGAAGCTTTACCATCGCTTTCGATGAGTTTCAATCGCAAACTATGTACCCTTATCTTTCGCCTACCAAAGTATCCATCATTCATCTTCCCCAAAACAAACAAATTGGTTTTTGCATACACTTCCCTCTAACCGTTCCTATTATTCATATCATTGGTTTCTCAATTTATTTTATGATTGATTGCACCGATTTGCTAGCCTGAAGATGTTTTTGCCCTAATTTGGCTTCTCTGGTTGCGTCTCTATTATTAGATTTGGAGAAAGCTTGTGGAAAATGCTTCAAAGTTTCTGAATGATAAGGTCACGAAAGCTGTTATAATAGTTTCTGCTTATTTCAATGATTCTCATAGAACAACAACAAAAGATGCATGTTGCATTGCTTATGGTTTTGTTGTTTCAGGTGAGGGGACCCGATTTCAGATAAATGTGTTTTCAATACAATATGATGTTTTATTCTAAATATGTTTTCTGATGTCTGTTTCCTATTTTCTGTGTTGTAGTTCTTGAAGTTGGCGATGGAGTTTTTGAGGTGCTTTCTACTTCTAAAGGTACACATCTTGGTGGTGATGATTTTGATAAGGTTAGTATTGTTGTAGAACCAATAACATTATCCATTTACAACCTTTTATAATTACATTACTATAAGCTTTTTTTTCACTTCCATGTAGAGAATAGTTGATTGGAATGCTGCAAGCTTCAAGAAATATGAAGGCATAGATGAATTAAAGGACAAGCAAGCCCTGCAGTGGTTGACTGAGATAATTGAAAAGGCTAAGATGGAACTTTCAACTTTGACACATGCAAGTATCAAGTACATGAATCATTTAAAAAAGTTTTTAGTTGTTCTTACTTTCTAGCAAATGAGTTTTACTGATTTCTAGTTATTTTCTTCCTAGTTTTCCTTTCATAATAGCCACTTATGATGGCCCCAAACACATTGATACCACTCTTAAAATTGTTCCTCAATGTTGGTCAATTCTTCCTCAGTGTTATACTCATTAAAAAGTGGATTCTTTTTGGTGTATAACTCAACACAATTGCAGGGACCAGGAGCCATTTCTTGGAGATAATTTGTAACCTAAATGATTATCACAACACATGTAAGGAATGGACCTAATATCAATTATTGTAATACTTTTATGGTTTATGCAACCAGAGAATACACCAATAGACTAGTCAAACAATATTCATACACACAAATGTTTTGATTCTTTCTCTCACTAGTCATGCATACCTCATGATATATCCTTAGAGAATCAACTATCATGTTCTTCACCCGAAGACAAACAAATAGAGCATTAATATAGTGATGATTGAGGAATAACAAAAAAAATCCAATTCTAACCTTGTTATTAAAATAGTCTTGGACAACCGATAGTGTTTTCCCCATGGCTCAATGTAAGATAGTAGGAATTGCACCTTTATATGTAACAAGGGCTGCAGATGTTGCTTATTCAGTAATACCTTTCAACATCAGAAGGAACTTATCAAGATCCGTTTCAAGCTCTTGCATTGTATGACCTGCAACAATAGCCCTTACAGTCAGACCAAAACTAGGAGGTTGCAAAGTGTTTGCTATCACCCTCAATAGAGTGCTCTATAATCCATTAATTTTCTTGGAAATTCCAGTTCTATCACTGGATAGGTTATCTAATTAGTTCTATATACCCTCTTTTTTTCAACTGTTGTTAAAACTTAAAACTAATAAAGTATGAATCATTCTTTCAGGCTTAAAACCCTAGTTGAAATTCATTAAGAGATGCTAAGCTATCACTCAAGGATCTTGAAAAAGTGATAAAGTATGTTCATATGATTGATATGATAATGTTTTAAGAATCTTTGATACATTATGTTTCAATAAAGACTTACTGTTTTCTAATTTGTTTCTGTAGAGTGGAATAATTCACAAGGTTTTGAAGACATTTCCTTCCACCAAATAATCTTTTTTTAACATTTTTTCTGGTTACTCTCAACTTACTTGCGACAATTATATTTTTTATAATTACATAATTATCAATTCACAACCCATATAGTGCAACAATACTAGTTACAAGCCATTTGCAAGGGAAGGTAACTGTTAAGGCGAATCTAATCTTTGAAGAATTCAGTGAAATTTAATTTCCTAAATCATCTTCTTAATTCCTTATTTCTTACTTTTATCTATTTTCAATCATTTCGATGTTGATTTGATTACCTGTAGTTGGAAGAGTAAATTATAGTTTTGGTACTTTGGTCGAATTCACACTTTCAGTCCAACCTTTTAAAAATTGACAAGATTCATCCTTATGGTTTAAAAAATATGCAGTACACATTCTTACTCCATTTAACAAGACCATTTTACCCTTACTTTTATATTTTTGTTTTTCTTTTATATATATATATATATATATATATATATATATATATATATATATATATATATATATATATGTTTGTTTGTTTAAAATATTTATATATGTTTTCGCCTATATTTTATTTTATTTATTTATATTTTTTATTATTTAGATTTTATTTGACGTTATTTCAAATATATTGTTTAATGGTTTTTGCATTTTTTTGGTTATATTTTTTGATATTTTTTTGAAAAATATTTTCTAGTTTTTTGACGGGTTGTTTGAATACATTTTAATTTTTATTTTGACGTTTTTGTTTGTTTATATATTTTCAAATATTTTTTGTAAAAATGTAAAAAATTTCGTCAAATGTAAATTTTATTAACATAGATTAGGTATAAAAATATTTCTTTAATATGACTAATAGATTGGCTAACCGCAATTCTAATAAGAAATCAAGGAGGTTTAGGCCACGACAGTAATCGGAAGGAGGGAGGGTATCTAGGACCCTTTAGTGGTATCTGGCATGTTTCTCATAGATAATTTATAGACTACTATACTCTTTGTGACATCCCCATTTTCACGGCCAGAAAATGCCGATTTTGTTTATGCTTTATAAAAAAATGAGAGTTCTTCTTTTAATAAAAATGTTGCGGAATTTGTTCCCAGAAAAACACGATAAATACGTTATTAAAACATCTTCGAAGAAACATATTTTATTCATTTTAAAATGTTTGAGATGTCATTCGTTAATACAAAAAAATAAGCATAAACAGAACTTACATTTATTTACACTAGTGATCTACATTTCTTTAAATCTCTCAGTGTAATGTGAATTGATATCAACACCTGTGATATAAATAAACTGAGTGGGTCAGGTTGGGAAACCTGATGAGTACATAGGATTTTCAACCCACAATAATATAATAATTATGTTTAAACAATCAAACAATCAACCCATTTACCCATCCCCATTATCTTCTTTAGACTTAAGGATCTACCCTAAGAATCAGTTATTCCTCGTTTATTTATTCCTAAGGAATCGGCACGAAGTCCATCGTTACCAAGGGTTATAGATTATAACCGCTGAACACGTAGTCCAAAACATCTGGTAAACACTTAGTTCAAAAGTAACTAGTGAACACACTCAGTTCAAAATACCTAGTGAACACACTCAGTCCAAAGATACCTAGGGAACACACTCAGTTCAAACTACCTAGTGAACACACTCAGTTCAAAATAGCTAGTGAACACACTCAGTTCAAAAATACCTAATGAGCACCTAGTTCAAAAACACCTACAGGTTACAAGCCTGCTAGCGTTTCACTAGATAGTTTAGTATCGTCGAGGGTCGTCATCTATACTCCACTAGATGACTGGATCACTGTCAACATTGATGTCTTTCATCGTGTTACCACACAACAACTATTTCATCTACCCATGTCATACCCAACATATTCGTATATATAAAATACGTATATAGTTTAAATCATTTAAAACATGTATAAAACGTTCATCCAGCATAGACAACAAGTATTGAGTTGATATGCACACATAGCACGTAGTTTATATAAAATACTTCATATCTATGTGTAAGATGAAAGGGACTATGCACTCACCTGAAAGGTGGTGACTCAGAACTCGGACAGCGCTTCGATACTCTCAAAACAATTTCCTTCGATAAAACCTAGTACCAATACTACTAGGGTTTAGTCTAACGATAACTGCGACAAATTAATTAGTCTTATTATTATTATTATTATTATTATTATTATTATTATTATTATATAAGCGTTAATAACACTCAATATAACTCATAATAATAGCCCAAATCATTATTTTAAGGACCTAATAACATTCCTATAATTATTTGAAAGCTATATTAAAAATTGCGTAAGCGTAGCACACTTACAGTGAATTTTATCGAGAACCATAACTTATTTGGAGCAGCGTTTCGAAACCGAAAGACATCGGGAGCTAAGGGGGTTTCCTAGGGTTTAGGGGACTCAAAAGAGGCTAGATAGAGAAAGTTCTTAGAGAGAGAATGAGTTTTGGTGCAAGAAAAGTGGCTGCTCTCGCTGCCTTTTTATAGGTGCGCGCCCTCGGTCGTACGCTGGGCGTACAGCAACACTACGCGGGGTGTAGTTCGAATAAGGGTGCCCCCTCGGACCAGCTGTCTCACATTCGACGGAAGGATAAGGTCGGAGGGTACGCTGGGCGTACCGAACTCGGATGCGGAGCGTAGGGCGAAGCGACGTGTCCTTCATCCGAAGCGAGCCGTGATCAGCAAGCGACGGTTAGGATCGAGCCACGTCACCACCTCACAACAGATTTCGCAAATTCATACTCCGACTTCTAAAAATCATAACTTTCGCATACGAGCTCCGTTTTTGACGTTCTTTATATCCATGCGAAGGTGGGAACGTACTCTACAACTTTCGTTTAGACTCCGTCGGCTAATTTTGACACCATTTTAAATTTTATATTATTAACAGGTCGGGACAGGATTGGTCTGTTAAATTCTCTTAACTTCTTCATCCGACGTCCGTTTTCGCCCATCTTTTTATCGTTACGCTACTTTTGACGAGACCTTCGATTCTCGTTTAGGTTGAGTCGGCTAAAAATCGCTCGATCTAATATTCGAATTTCAGGCTGTACACTGCTAATCCGAAACTTCGAAAAATCATAACTTCTTCATACGAAGTCATATTTGGGTGTTCTTTTTATCGATGTTCTTTGTTTAACATAATCTACGATTTTTTTTTATATCATTAAGGCTAAAACTCGCTCTATCGTAAATTCACAATTTACACTTCCCGGTGCCATGTCGGTTCCGACGCGAAACTTCGACGGGTCATAACTTCTTCGTTATAACTCGGATTTCGGCGTTCTTTATATGTACGGAAACCTTGTGACATATTCTACAACTTGGTTAAGATTATTTATTCTAAATAATATTTTGTTGAAAATTCATTTTCGACCCCTATTGCCTCTAAATTGACTAGCCCGGATTTGCGGGCGTTACACTCTTAGAATCTAGAGATGATATAAAACTGTCTGTTAACTCTAAATAACTGTTTGATAACTCTAAATAACTACCTCTCTCACGTCAACCTCATGCATATGTCTATTGGTAGTTTTGATGTCATAATTGACATGGAGTGGTTATCTTTACATCACTCTGAAATCCTATGCTACGAAAAAGCCATACGACTACCCTTACCGAACGGTGAAGTCCTGATAATCTATGGTGATAAGTCTAGGAAAAACCTAAAAGTTGTCTCTTGCACCATGATGCAGAAATATCTACATACGAAATGTAGCACATTTGTGGCTCGCATTGTAGATAAGAAAAGAGAAACAAAAGAAATCAACGACATACCTCAAGTATGTGACTACCTATATGTATTTATTAAAGATCTACTGGGAATACCACCCATTCCACAAATCAAATTCCGAATCGATTTAATTTCAGGATCAATACCAGTTGCGGAATCTCCTTATCGGTTGGCTCCATCCGAAAT